CGTCGCTGAATTCAGCCGCAGGGACCGACCGCGGTGTGTCCACTCACCAGCCGCCGGGCATCCGGGCTGTGTGCGGTTTCTGGCTGCCGTGTGCACTGGGGCATGAGTCTGTGTGTGGACACACGGTTCCTTTACTCTTGGACAAATACCTGGGAGCGGACCCTTGGAATTGGGGGTAACTCTGACATTTGACAGTTGAAGAAAGCGCCAGCCTGGGGCGCCTGGGTTGCTCAGTCAGTTGAGCATCTGCCTCTGGCTCAGGTCGTGATCCCGGGGTCCTGGGATCGAGCCCTGCATCGGGCTCCCTGCTCGGCGGGGAGTCTGCTTCTCCCTCTGACCCTCCTCCCTCTCATGCTCTCTGTCTCTTAAATAAATAAAATCATGGGGCACCTGGGTGGCTCAGTCGGTTGAGCGACTGCCTTCGGCTCAGGTCACGATCCTGGAGTCCCGGGATCGAGTCCCGCATTGGGCTCCCTGCTCGGCGGGGAGACTGCTTCTCCCTCTGACCCTCCCCCCTCTCATGTGCTTTCTCTCTCTCAAATAAATAAATAAAATCTTAAAAAAAAAAGCAAGCAAGGAAGCGCCAGCCTGCTTTGCGGTGCGTCCACACTGCCTGCCCCGCGTGCTGGTCTCGCGGCCACACTGCTCCCCCTCTCCCCCCATCTCTGGGAGGGTCTGCCCACAGCCGCTGTCCCTTCTGAAATGTCTGGGGGGCTTCCCTTTGGCGAGAGGTCTTCAGGGGCTCGTTCTGTGCTTGCCTGTGTTCCGAGCGTCTCCTTCTGGAGTCCGTCCGAAGGACATCATCCCTTCATCTAAGCTGTCCTAGTTTGTTGGCATGAAACTGTTGAAATTCTTTCATCTTTAGGGTCCGCAGTGACGGTCCCGCCCTCGCGGCTGATTTTGTGGCTTGTGTCTCTTCCGTGGGCGGCGGGTTCTGGGTTCCCCCCTGCGCCCAGGCTCACGAGGTCCCACCGTCCCCTTGTGGGCTCCCTTCTCTGCTTGGGTGGGTTTGCTCCCCACTGTCGGACGCCTGAGGCGGGAGCTCCCCTGGCTGATTCCCAGGCTTTGCCTCGTGGATTTGCCACATTTGCTTCTAAAACGGCGCCTCTTTCCTCGTGGCGGGTGGCGTTTCCATTTTCAGGCCGGCCGAGATCCTCTCTCCTTTGCCGCGCGTTCCTCCCCCCGTGGGTTGCTTCGAAGTGTGTTCGTTTCCAAACATTTGGGGATTTCTCAGATTTCCTCTGGTTGTGGACGGCTAATTCCTCTGTTTGGAGAGCGTGCCCTGGCTGACGTCAGCCCTGGTCGTGCGCTCGCCTGGGGACCGTTCCGTGTGCGCGTGGAGGGTTCGGTCGGGCCAGCGGTGCCGGGTGGGCCGTGGTCCACGCGCCGCTCCGCCAGCCTTCGAGAACAGTCCGGAAACTCCAGCTCTGGAGGTCCGGCTGTCTCTGTCTCCCTCAGCGCTCGGCTTCTGCTTCGCGTACCTGGGGAGTCCGCTGCCAGGTGCGTGCACACCCACGACGACTCCCCGCGGCCGGCGCTCGGCCCCCTGAGCCCAGGAAATGCGCATCTCCAGTGAGGGCCGGATCCTGACGCCCGTCCTGTCGGATTCAGGCCGTGTCTGCGGGCTGTGCCTCCCTCATCCCCCGCGGCCACTCCCGCTGTGTGGTTGGATGTCAGGCAGTGGCCTGCATCCTTCCCGGGGCATCGTGGCCGGAGGCCTGCCACCGCCGTCCCCTCCGAGTGGCTCTTCCCGGGGGACACTGTGAGGCTCTGCGCACACCCTGTGTCCTCTCCGTGTTGCCCCAGGCCCTCGTGCTGGGGTGAGGACTCTCCCCATGCACGGCTGCGGCCCAGGTGTTTGCTGGCGGTGCTTTTCCGCGTCCGTGACTGCTTCTGCGTTCATCAGCTGGGGTTCTGAAGGGAAGAGCGGTCCCTTCTTTCCGCTCCTCCGCTCACGCGGTTAGGTAGTTCTGTCTTCGTGGACGTGGGTATGTATGTTTTGCAGGACGTGTACGATGTCGTGGCTCGTGTTGTCCCAGATTTGGCCATCCCGCGTCCTCCTAACGCTTCCCCATCACGCTCGGAGCGTTTTACTTGCTGGCCCCGCGAGACACTCCGAGCTCGTCTTGTCCTTTCCCCGCTCCGGCCCCGGAGTCCGCCACGTCTCCAGGGAGCTGGTCCTGTTTGTTGGTGTGGGATGTAGACCCCAAGCTCCGGGTGCTGGGCGTCCCCTCGCCGCCGGGCTGCCCGTGTGTGGAGCCGCAGGATGGTCCCCATGCCTCCACTCCAGGCCAGCACCCCGGAATCCGCGCCCCTCCCGCACTTGTCACCCTGTGCCCTCGGCGGAGAACCCAGCTTGCACCATCCACCACATGCCTGCTTCGTGGCGCCGCCCAGAGCACACGACTCTCTGCTCGGGAGCGACACCGAGGAAGCGCGGGGCCACGGCCCCTCTGGGGGGGCGCCCGCTTGTGCGTGGCTCTCTTGGCCCTCGCCCCCATTCCCAAAATACTTGGGTGTTCCCGCCTCACTCAGTCCTGCCCCAGCCCCGGCTCCCACCCTCTCCTCGCTGTCTCTGTGGACGGGACCCCTCTGGGGACCTCCTGGGAGTGGGGTCCTGCGGGATGTGTCCTGGGTCTGGCTCCTCTCACTAAGCCCGGTGTCCTGGGGGTCCCTCCGCGTCGTGGCAGGTGTCGGGGTCCCTTCCTTCTTGAGGCTGGAGCGTGTTCCCGCGTGGGGACGGAAGGACAGGTTGTGTGTGTCCTTCATCCACGGACATGGGTGCGCCCCCCTTCTGGCCGCTGGGACACACGCTCTGTGAACACAGGCGTGCAGGCCGTGGGGACGCGTGCGCCCGTCTCTCCCGCACGTGCACCAGGTGTGAGCTGCTGGTTCTCGGCCGCTCGGGCTGGGCCAGCAGAGGAGCTGCCAGATGGTTCCCACAGCGGCCGCGTACCTCGCGCTCCCGCCAGCCTCGCCGCGGGTACTGCTCTCTCCACATCCGTGTGGCCTCTCGTCACGGTCTGCATGGCTCGTCCCAGCCGTCTGCGTGGAGCGAGGCAGCGTCCCCTGGGGGGCAGATCGGGGCTTGGAGAAGACCGGGCGGCCAGCCAGGCGGGAGGGGCCGGAGGCGCGAGGGGGTGTGAGCAGAGGGCCCGGGGGTGCAGACACTCCTCAGACACGGCGGTCTTGCGGGGGGCGTGCGGTCAGCGGCCTCTTACTGCGGCGCTGGAATCCATTTTCCGGCGGGAAAGTGAGGTGCTTCCCCCAAGCTGGAGAGGAGGACCGGGAAGGCACTTTATTTATGGAGCACGTGTGGGGGTGCAGTGACGGGCCTGGGGCCGCCGAGGACACGGGTGAGGCTGGCCGTGCCTGGGGCAGGGCCACAGAGGCGTTTCCTGTCCCGTCCTGGGGCCAGACGTCCAAGGCCGAGGTGTCGCGGAGGCTCTGGAGACGGTCCTTCCTGCCTCTCCCAGCTCCTGGGGCTCCAGGCGTCCCCGGGCTCATGGCCGCGTCCCTCCCGTGTCTGTATCTGTCGCCACGTGGCTTCTCCCTGTGTCTGTGCCCAAAGTCCCCTCTCATGAGGACACCAGCGTGGGACTAGGGCCACCCTGCTCCCCCATATGACCTCACGTGAACCAGTCACGTCCACGAACACGATTTCCAAGTGAGGTCCCATTCCGGCCTTCCGGGTGGACGTGACTTCTGGGGGAGGCTGTCCTCCCCACTTGGATTCCCATCTGGTCCCCTGTCTTGGGTCTGGTCCCCAGACGTGCTCAAGCCCCGTGCACACGGCGGCCCGAACGAGGGCCTGGGAGGCGTGCCCCAGGATGGCGGGGAAAGTAGGAGCCAGGGAAGGAGGTCCTTCTCCCTGTTAAGAGTCGGGGGCTGCCCAGGGCGCCTGGGTGGTTCAGATGGTTAAGCGTCTGCCTTCGGCTCAGGTCATGATCCCAGGGTCCTGGGATCGAGTCCCGCATCGGGCTCCCTGCTAGGCGGGGAGCCTGCTTCTCCCTCTGCCTCTCTCTCTCTCTCTGACTCTCATGAATGAATAAATAAAAAAACATTAAAAAAAAAAAAAAAAGTCGGGGGCTGCCCAGCCTGGGGTTCGCTGGGAGCCATGGGTAGGCTGGGAAGGAGGATGTAGGGGCTGCTCTGAGCCCCGCGTGTGTCACGATGGGGACCCCGGGAGGGGGTGTGGTGCAGGGCCTTGTGGACCCGGGGTTGGGTGCTCTGAGGCAGACGGGCCATGGGGTGAGCCCTGGAGACTGCGGGTGGATAGCACAGAGCACAGAGTGGGCGGCCCCCATGGAGTGCTCCGGCTGGGGGGGGGTTGCAGCTGGCTCGAAGGAAGGCTGGGGGGCGCCTCACTTCTTGTCCTCGCCCACTGGGCCTTCCTGTCCTTTCGCTGAGAAGTCACGGGCAGGTGGGTCCCGTGTGGTCACATCACTCTGGATGAACCCTTCGGCCTCACGGCTACCACCTCCTAACGTTCCCCTGTGCTCCTGCCATTCCCCAGGCCCTGATGCCCTTCCCTGCGGCCTCAGCCCCGCTCCGATGTCCCTGCCAAGCCTTCCCTGACCCTCACTTCCCATCACAGGCTTATGTGCTTTCTGCCCCACAGTCAGGCTGTCCACGCACTGGACCTGCGCCTGCCTCCCTCCAGGACAGCCAGGACCCTAGCGCCCACAGCCTGAGCATGGAGGGGGGGGTGGTGTGCTTGGGGGGGACACCCACAGCCTGAGCGCAGGGGGTTGTGTGTTTGGGGGGGCACGGGGGACCTGCTGTTGCTGGGCCGGCTGCATAGCCTCACTCCTTGGCACCCCCCTCCTGGAAGCATCTGCCACTAGGATGTTCTGGGCCAGTGTCATCTGGGGCGCCGGCCGGAGCCGCTCCCCCAGCACCTCCTGTGGGGACACGTGGGGCCCTGACAGCCCCCAGACTGGGGTGCCGGGAACAGGCAGGGCCGCAAGGAGGGTAACCGGCCTCTTCTCTGACGCCAGGTTCGTGCTGGCCGTGGGCAGTGCCGTCTTCGACGCCATGTTCAACGGGGGGATGGCCACCACATCCACCGAGATCGAGCTGCCCGACGTGGAGCCGGCCGCCTTCCTGGCGCTGCTCAAGTAAGACTTCTAGATCTTTCCTGGAGGGGCGGGATGGAGGAGCCTGATGTTGTCAGACATGGAGACGCAGTTGAGGAAGAGGGCAGGGAGACCCCCAGCGACAGGGCCTCCGGAGCCCCCTGGCTCCCGCAGGGTTCCAGGACTGCCTCTGAAGTGAGGGGTGGGCTCTGGAGGCCCCCACCCCGTTTTCATTTTTGTATGTTTTTAACTGAGACGTAATTCCCAGATGGGACAGTCCACCCATTGGCAGCGCACACTTCAGTGGTTTGTAATATGTCCGCAGTGTCGGCGACTGATTCCACACCCCGTCACCCACTCCCCTCCCCCGGCCCCCACGAGCCCCCTTCCCGTCCGCGGATGAGCCTGCTCTGGACTTGTCACCCACGTGGACTCACACCCCGCGTGGCCTTCCGTGTCTGGTTCCCTCCCTGAGCGTCGTGGGCTCAGGGTCCGTCCCGGGGCCGCGCGTGCAAGTCCCCATTCTCACCCGTTGTGGTCAACAGGGGTTGTGGAAGAAGTAAGATAATGTAAGAATGTTCAATACCAGCTCTAGTTGTTTCTTCTTGAGCCTCAAAATTCCCTCAAGTGCATTAGCATCAGAGCGGTGAGCGCCCGGGGCGGGGGCTGCGTGCTCCGAGCAGGGGGAAGCGAGGCTGTGGGCTGGCCGGGCTCTTTCCCTCCGCTGAGCACAGGCCTCTGGCTTCTAGAAACACCGGGTGTAAATCATGGTGGGGAACTTTACAGACTGTTCCAAACAGTTAACATGTCTTTTTAAATGCAGAGTTTATTTTTTCTCTTTCGATTATAAAGATGGCACAGACTCACAGAGGGGGAGAGAGAGAGGAAGGAAGGAAAGAAAGGAAACAAAGGAAAATTCAGCAGGTGTGAAGGACAGGATGAGCCGCCCCCTGCCGTGTTCAAGGCCGCGTGGGTGCTCCCCTCCCCCGCCATCCACAGCTCACTGCCAGGCGGGGCTTTGTTCCCGTTGGTCCCGTCCGCAGACGCCCCTTAATACGTGCCGCCCTCTGATACGCTTGGACGCTTGGTCCTGTGTGCCACTCCCAGCGTCTTCCCGAGGACAGGTAGCACTTTGGGGAACAATCTCATGGATTTGTCATCGTGTAACTTCTCAGATTGCTAAGACCAGGGGCGGATGGGCTTCGTCCCCACCACTCACCCTGCGGCTGGTGTTGTAAAAGCAGCCGGACTATTTGTAAATGATCGGGGAGGGGGGGCTGGGTGCCAGTAAAACTTCATGTACGAGAACAGGTGACAAAACCATGATGAGCTGTCACTTCGTACCCACCTGGGCAGCTATTATGAAAAACACAGAAAAACAAAAGAAGATAACAAGAATGAGTGAGGAGTGGGGGATTGGGACCCCCGTGCGGGGCCAGTGCGGATGGGAGACGTGGCCACCTCTGCGAGACAGGAGGGGGGTCCCTCAAGAGGTTTAAACGTGGAGTCACCGTGTGACCCAGCAATTCCGCTGCTGAATGTCTATGTGAGAACTGAGAGCAGGGACTCAAACAGGTACTCACGCACCCATGTTCACAGCGGCACGATCCACATGGGGCGGACACAACTCAAGTGTCCACCCATGGGTGCAGGATAAACACCACGTGTCCATCTACACGCTAGAATGTTAACATGGACAGACCCCGAGGACACCGAGCTCAGTGAGAGGAGCCAGACCCGGAAGGACACATCCCGCAGGACCCCACTCCCAGGAGGTCCCCAGAGGGGTCCCGTCCACACAGACAGAGAGGAGAGGGTGGGAGCCAGGGCTGGGGCAGGGGGTGGGGAGTCCGTGCTTCATGGGGACAGAGTCTCCATGTGCGGAGATGGAACGTTCTGGAAACGGAGGGTGGGGGTGGTCGCAGGACAGGGTGAGTGTGTCTCATGCCACTGAAGCGTATGCCTAAAAATGCTTACAGTGGTTATGCTGTGCATGTATTTTTTAAAGTTTTATTTAAGTAATTTCTAGCCCCGATGTAGGGCTTGAACTCACAACCCTGAGATCAAGAGTTGCATGTTCTTCCGACTGAGCCAGCCAGGCGCCCCCTTGTTGTGTGTAGTTTATTGTAATTTTTAAAAAAATAAATAAAAGAGATGTTCATGAGAAAACACACAAACAGGTGACGGGTTGCAATTAGCCAAAACCCTGGCTTAGATTGAACTCATGAGGGATGCTGGGTTCCGGCCATAGCCTCCGTCCTCTGGCTCCCGGTTCCCATCGCTCCCGCTGAGCTGCTCCCCGCAGGGCTGACGCTGTCCTCCCCGCTGGCGTGTGAGTGGCCGACCCCGTCACAGGTGCGCCTACTGCACTGCTGACCTCGGGTCCGGGGTCTCCCTGACCCCACAGGATTACAGCTGCTGATGTGTGAGGCTGTGTGCGGCTTCCAGCACATTCTCGGGGGACCCCGGACACGGGCACAGCCTTCCGGGCCTTGCTCTTGCTCTTCATGCTGCATCCCGCCGGCTTCGGCCCAGGGTTCTCATCTCTCCACCGCCTCGTTCTGTCAAATTGACCGTACGTCCACGTTCCGAGTGTGGGGACGGTGGTGGTCATAGTGCCTGGGTCAGGCTGGCCTTCCTGGTCCTGCGACCTGCCCGGAACTCGCTGAGCCTTGCAGCCACGGGACGGCCGTCCCAGGGCAGATCCCACGCAGGTGCCTCCAGGGGAGTGGGGGGCCTTCCGTGTTGTGCCCTGGCGCAGGCCGTCACACCGGGAAGGAAGGGGCCCGCCGTATAGACCCGCGATCCGGTGGTGGAGGTGGGTGGGAGAGCCTCTGGCTGGTCTTGGTGGGTAATGGTCTTTGCCAGGTCATAGGGCAACAGACGCTGGTTCTGGAAGGCTCCTGGGGCTGGGCTGGTGGGGCAGGGGCTGGAGTGATGTCTGCCAGCCGGGTCTGACGGTCCTAGCGTCCTGTCTTAGGTTTCTCTACTCGGATGAGGTTCAGATCGGGCCCGAGACGGTCATGACCACGCTGTACACAGCCAAGAAGTACGCGGTGCCCGCGCTCGAGGCCCACTGCGTGGAATTCCTGAAGAAGAACCTCCGGGCTGACAATGCGTTCATGCTGCTGACGCAGGTGCGGGACGAGGACACGGGAACTGGCCAGGGTGCGCAGGGTGGGGGGTGGCGAGGATGCGTTTGAGCGGGGACGCTGGGACCAGGCGAGGACGCCGCTGTGCTGGGGGTGTGCGGCTGGGGCGCGGGGCAAGGACGAAGGCGGGACAGGTAAGGGCGAGGTGCGCAAGGCGATTAGGGCGGACGCGGGGTGGGGGGCGGGGCAAGGGCAGGTGTGCTGGGACGGGGGTGGGGGAGGGCGAAGACGAAGGCGCGCGGGGCCGGGCGAGGGCGTGGCGCCAGGTGAGGACACGGGGTCGCGCGCCGGAGAGGGCGCGGGTGCACGGGGGTTGGGGGCGCGAGGCCTGGGAGAACGCGGGTGTGCGGGTGCGGGGCGAGGACACGGGTGCGAGGGGTCCGGCGGAGGCCTGGGGCAGGGGCACCAGGTGAGGATGACGTGCGCAGGGACCTGGCGATGACGCGGGGGTGGGGCTGGGGCGCAGGGGGAGGGGTGAGAGTACGGGGGCGGGGCAAGGACGAAGAGTGGATGGCGGGGGTTGGGGAAGGTAAGGACCGGGTGCGCAGGGGTTAGGCGAGGACGCTGGGCCGGGCGAGGAAGCGGGCGCGCTGTGCGGGTGGGTTAGGGTGCGGATGCAGTGGGGGGCGGGTGAGAACGCGGGTGCATAGGGGCAGGGCCGGGACCCTGAGACTGGGCGCAGGTGCGCGGGGGCGGGGCAAGGACCGAGGTGTGCTGGTGGGGAGGGCAGGTGAGGGCGCGGGACCCCGCGAGCCTAAGGCGCGCGGGGGTGGGGGGGCGAAGGCGCGGCTTGCGGGAGTCGGTGAGGACGAAGGCGCGCGGGGGCCGGGTGAAGGACGCGGGTGGGCGTGGGTGCGGGCCGGGGAGGAGGGTGTGTGGGGGGGGAAGGCAGGGAGAGAGCGCAGGCGTGCGCGGGTTACGGGAGGGCCTGAGACCGACGGGGGTGGATCTCTGAGTGTTTGATGTCCCTTAAATTTTGCGACCCAGTGAGAGCTTCCCTTCCCTCCCCTCCCCTCATTCCAAGCTGGTCCTTTCCAGCAGAGCGCCTGGCCCTTGTTTGGCTGAAGGTTTTCTGCCTACGTTTTGACGCTCCTTTTCAGGGGTCAGGTGTGGGGAGAAAGTTATCATGACGCTTCTTGGAGTGGGTCCCTTTCAGGCTCTGTAGTCCCAGGCATGGGGGTGGGGCTGGCGTGGCCACGGGGACTGGAGGCAGGGAAGGATGTGGACACGGGCGGGTAGGGGACAGGGCCGCCCAGGGGATGGGGAGCGTGACCGGGCCAGAGCCGGGCCTGTCGTGTGGCACGGAGAGCCGTGGCCGCGGGGAGCTTGTGCTGGCCCGGAGCCGCCTGGGCGAGGGAGCCAGAATCTTCTCGGCTCCGGGTTCCCGCACCCCGCCTGCAGGTTCCTGGTGGAGCAACCTCTGGCGGACAGAAGTGCACGGCTCCCCTGTCCGCCGGCCTGGCGCGGTCCCCTCCCCGGGGCCTCCTGCCTTCCCCGGGGGCCCTGTCCTGTCCGCGGACCCCGTGTCCGGCCATGGAGGTGCGGGCCCTGTGGTGCCCGGGCCCCGGGCCGCAGCTCCCGAGTCTGTGTGGGCCCCGCGGCCCGCGCCGCGTGAGATTCATGACGGGGTGTGACCCGAGGGGCGTCCGGGGCCCCGCCTCGGGCCGTGGGTTGACGCGCGGCCTCTCGCCAGGCGCGTCTCTTCGACGAGCCGCAGCTGGCCAGCCTATGCCTGGAGAACATCGACAAGAACACGGCCGACGCCATCACCGCCGAGGGCTTCACTGACATCGACCTGGGTAAGGCCCTGGGGCGCCGGGGCGCGTGGCCGCGTGGGGGGAGCTGAGAGCCCGCGAGGCCGCTGAGCTGGTCCCGTGCCCGCAGACACGCTGGTGGCCGTGCTGGAGCGGGACACCCTGGGCATCCGGGAGGTGCGCCTGTTCAGCGCCGTCGTCCGCTGGTCCGAGGCCGAGTGTCAGCGGCAGCAGCTGCCCGTGACCCCCGAGAACAAGCGCAAGGTGCTGGGCAAGGCGCTCGCCCTCATCCGCTTCCCGCTCATGACCATCGAGGAGTTTGCCGCAGGTAACGGTCAGGGGGCGGGGGCCGCTCGGCGGGAGCACGACCCCCAGGGACCCCAGGTGTGACCCCGAGCCAGCTGTGGGCAGCGCGGGTGGGCCGCTCTGCCGAGGACGCCCTTGCCGTGTCGCGTGGACAGTGTGGAGCGCGTGTCCGTGTGTAAAGACCCAACGCCCCACAGACGCCACCCGACGGGCGCCTGGGTTCCCTTCCCTCCGCGTCCCGAGTGTCCGTGCGCGTGCTGGGCCACCGCGGGCCCCCGGCTTGGGTTCCCGTCCTGGGGGCCGGGCTCTGGCTTCAGCATCCTGGGCAAGCCTGCGCGGGCTGGGAGGTGGCCGGGCCCCGGGCCAACGTGGGGGCAGCCGCGACCGTGCTTCCTGCCCCGTGTGGACGCAGTGCTGCCGGCCTCCTCTCCGGGCTCCGGGGCTGGCGGGTCCCGGGGAACCCCCCTCCCCGGGTTGCCAGATTGAGCGGCAGCGGTAAAGAACTGTTTGGCACGGCTGTTTTGCACGCGCCAGCCGGGACGCACTTCTGCAGAGTAGTTGTCTCTGACGGGAAGTTCAGGTCCGGCTGTTCTGTCCGTGCCCGGATCGCTCATTCATCGAACGCGTAGTGAGTGCCTCTCGTGTGTGGGGACCACGGGGGCCTGGGCGCTACAGACCGGGGCCAGGTGGTTGTCAGGGGGCCAGGAGCACCGATGTCCCTGACGTGGCCCAGGGGGCCCGGGGGCACCAGGCTGTGACAGAACCGCTCTGTCCCGTCCCCACACCAGCGGCAGCCTTGCTGGGCCCCTCCCTCCCCAGCCTGGCTTGCACCCCCAAAAGCGCTCTCCCTGTCCACGGGGACGCTCAACCCCCTGGGGCCCCAAGCCCTGCAGTTGCCATCCGTTCACCCTTGGTGTGGAGCCTCTGCTGCTTCCGGTGCCCCCCACTGCCCCTCGCCCCTCCCGTGAGGGTCCCCCCAGGCCGCCCCTGCTCTGCCCAAGGTCACTGGGAATGACCCCGTGTGTGTCCTCTGGGGTTGGACCTTGTGGCCCTTCGTCACTCAGCATGTTTTAGAGAACGCCCCTGCTTCTATGTCCCGCTGGAAAATACGAGATGAGACAGAAGTTGGAAAAAACTCCGCCCAGCTGAGTGCGCACGGCCGCGGTCTGATGTATTTTTCCTTCTGCATTTCCTATGCAGAGATTAAAGAGAAGCATGGTTAACACTCTGTATTCCACTTTGTATCTTCCTTACTCACCAAGAGCTGTCCCCACGGGTCCCCCGGGGCCACCCTGTCCTGAGTCCCGGGCTGTCACCAGCCTGCAGAGGCCAGCTCCCAGCGCTCGCCACCCCATGTCTGCCTCTGGGGTGCCCCCTCCCGGACCCCCCTCCGGATGGGGTCCTGTCTCGCGAGTCGCCCCTTGGCAGCTGACGGCTTCTCGTGAGCCTGGGCAGGGCGGCCTGGGCCGGGAGGGGCATGTTGCCCCAGGAGCCAGTGAATCGGACACCCCTCCAAGTGCCAGGCGGGGCTGTCCTGCCCCAGGGC